AGAGAGAGAGAGAGAGAGAGAGAGAGAGAGAGAGAGAGAGAGAGAGAGAGAGAGAGAGAGAGAGAGAGAGAGATTGAAACTCAAAAGCGAGAAGAGATCATCTTGGTAACTAACTGGCATGTGCCTGGGAAGTGCATTAGAGAGCTTCTTTTGAGTATGCCCGAGCCTGCGGAGAGTCAGCCATTGTGACAATTGTGGACAGGAACCGCTTACGGTGGCAGAAATGGCATACCTTGAGGTGTCACTAGGCTACATGGGGGGTTTCTATGATCAACAGGCCAGATAGGTTACCATTAGGATGACGACTTTTTTATCGGGCAATTTAAGAAGGTGGAGATCACAGATGTAGGTATGGGTACCACGTAAGGGTGTTGTATCCGAAAATAAGACAACTGGGTCCTCCAGCCTGAATGGGAGAAAGCGTTTGGGTGGATGCTCATTTCGTCTTGCTCGGGAAGCGGGGGTACCCCAAAGGTTCTCCATCAGGACTCAAACTCATGATCTCTTCATTAACAGTTACATGGATATACAGTTCAGGGACAAGGCAGGTAAGGTTAGCCCATATCCTACTCTGAGTTGCAATAGGAGAAGGAACCAAAGTGACGTCCCATGGAATAGGAATTGAATTCTCAGAGAAAAATAGAGTCTGGCAGTCTGCATGTTCGCACAGTAAGCGTGGGCGCTCACACAGAGGTACTTTTGCACTTGATTCCACATCCTCAGCTTTCTTTCGAGTGCCACTAACACCTAGCAAGGTGGGAAACAAACTGTCCTCCTGTGGACATCTAGTCATAAAATAATGAAGGGAGAAACACAACATTGTCCCCTGGAAAGTTTTGGTTGACCTCACTTCCCCCAGATAAATGTACAAGGAATGACAACTTTTCTATCGGAATGGTGATGATGCTCAGGTAAATTCATTCACAGGCAATGAGTTGGTTGCAAACATGGTGGGACACTGTAAAGCCTTTCTCCGAAAAATTATTATCTGATGTTGAAAGCCATGTGTGTGTTGGCAGGTTATTATGGGAATTTTGTGACAGAGCTAGTTACTGGTGACAGTTTTGGGGAGGCCGTGCCCTCAGCTCCCTCTTCGTAAGACCACAATGATCTCTGCTGCCCCTTGTTACCCTAACACTCCTATGTTGATATGATGATATTCAAAGCCAGTTGGAGGGTCCAAAGTTTGAGATATTGAGTGCTTGGCATTGGATGCTGGAATTAAAGGACCATGGAACGTGTGCTCTTCCGCCTTCCCAGAAGATTGGATTTCGAAACTAAAATTCCAACAACGAACTCCATGACAGGACTAAACCGCTACTTCCTTCAGCAAAACAGTGACGATTCCAAATTCACTTCAGATAATTCAAATCATTCACTGCAGTGATAGTACTGTGATACGGTAACGATTTTCAAGATCTCAAATATTTGCATGCCTGATGACAATTGCTCACGTAATTGAGATGAAATGACACTTGGTTGGAAAATTTTAGGTGGGCGACGATAGAGTTAGTGACATAATAATAAGATAATAACTAGCTAAGCGCCCGCGGTGCGGGCGGTGCGGGCGGTGCGGGCTATATGCCTTTTTTTTTGTTGGGACCTTTCCTGCTCCTTCCACGGGCTGGCCACCCGGGAACCGGGCCGCCCGGCTGGTAGCCTAGAAAATAATAATAGAGGAGAGACAGAGACAGACAAAGAGAGATAGAAAGAAAGGAAAAGGTAGAGAGAGAGAGAGAGAGAGAGAGAGAGAGAGAGAGAGAGAGAGGGAGAGAGAGAGAGAGAGAGAAAGAGAGAGAGAGAGAGAGCAACAAAAGAGCAAAGAATAAAGAAAGACCAACACTAGTATACAAAGAGAAGAAGTTTAATATGAGGATTTATCGTTCCATTAAAGTTAGCAAGTGGCCGCAGTATGATAAAGGCACAATTATTGCGTAATGGAATCCACCTTGACGTAAAAAAACGCAATAATATCAAGTCAAAATTATTTTCTTTCTTTCTTTCTCTCTCTCTCTCTCTCTCTCTCTCTCTCTCTCTCTCTCTCTCTCTCTCTCTCTCTCTCTCTCTCTCTCCCCCATTTATTTATCTCTCTCTTCCTATCTCTCTTGTAAGGGCAATTACTTAACCGAAACCGAAGCTGACCGTAAAAAAATCTGCCATTAAGGCAACGCCTGGACGACCGCCCAATCAACAGCTCTCTCTTCCTATCTCTCTTATAAGACCGATCAACTTCCTTCACTGGAACGATACTCTTGCAGCACCTCACGAACAGAAACTTGTTGCAACACTTTGCGACAATACTCCTCAAAAGTGTCGAATCGACCTTGTCTTTGCCGATTGTAATCGAAATGAATTGCAGCATCAACACATCTCCAAGTGTTCATGCTCGTATTCAACTCCGTTGTTGCTTCCACAAATCTTGCACCCTGTGAGAACTGTCAAGATAGGACAGGTGTGCAAGTGTCTTTTTGGGACCAATAGATTCAAGGGAGTCATAAATGGTAATGTTAAAATTAGAAGAACTTGGTTGTTCCAAGGGTCCTTTATGGATATGCAAATGGTCTCTTGATGGCGTAAGAGCGTGCACAACACAACTGACAGGATACGGAGTAGCCATAGCGGCCAGCAAAGCAGAATCAACAACAGAAGTAGTGACAATCGACATTGACATATTGGATGGTGTAGCATAATACACAAGACGTTGAAAATTTGGAGGAGATGCTGCTTGAAGAGGGAGTCTACGGACCGGAGCAGAATGAGGAGTGCAAGAAGCAACCGCAGGAGGAATCATTTTCAAAAGGTGTTGTATCCGTGTATATCTGTGAAATGGTTGGGGAATGGTCCCTTCTGTCGGACAATGTGGCAAATCAAATGTCATCCTAGTAATCTCCTCATTTGACAGAGCAACATACTCATCGGTCAAAAGTGAATTCAATACGGAAGAAGCCTCCAAATCTGAAACATTCAACGGGTCTGAAGGACGAGGGGATCGTCGTTCCAACCGCATATCAGTGAGTTTGTTTTTTTTCCACTCGAGGAAGTTTTCCCATATTTGTTCATCTTTTACGACCGTGGCACTTTTGACAAACATTTCAAAAAGCACCTCAGTCAAACCATTTTGGATCCCAACCTTTTTCACATCGTCAAACCATCTAGCAAGGTAAGCGCGCGGCTTCGGAGTGCGGATTGTGGGTGCATCGTTATCATCGGGCACAACAATAACCCCCGAAGGATTTTGTGGTTGCGATGTGACGCAAACGTTTTTTTCGTGTCCACTGCGTTGAGATTGCGAACAAGAATCACAAACATGTGCACGTCCAGCGAGCGGTGCACAAAACGGAAGAGATGCAAGTTCATCCACAGGGAGCGCATTCAGCGCATTCAAAATTTGAGTTGCCGTTTCATCAACAATAGGTTGTCGTCCCACCTTATTGTCAACAAACGTAGGCTCGAGCAATTCGGGCGAACCCAAAGGATTAGATTTTCCTACCACGACTCTTTCTTCTCTTGAATGTAGATTGAACATACTCTTCTTTCGAATCACCTGTGGTGTCATCATTCTGGTCACCAGGAAATGTAAGGTTATTAGGCCCACCCGACAGACCTCTACGCAAACCATCCCCATCAGCACGACAATTGTCACCACCCTCCTCCACAACCATCTTCTGAGCATGAGCAAGCGTATTGCCTTGCGAACATTGATGTTCAACTTCAACAAGAGCACCACGATCGTCCCAAGAACGCTCACTTCCAACATTCACCGACCTCTCATCATTTCCACTCTTTTTCGACCTCTCCGAATGTTCGGCTCCAGCTTTCGATGTAACATTCGTATCATATTGAGTGGTATTGCTGGTTGCCATTGCTTTCCTTTAGCACGAGTGTCGTACTTATGCGGCATTCGGGAGTCGTCTGCAAAGAAAGAATATGACGGAATTATTTGGAATGCGAAGGCTCGACGGAAAGAAAAAGAAAATGACTCACCCCAAAAGTTCATGATATACAATAATCTTCGTAAAAAAATTCTTATCAGGCAATGCAACACGGATGTTGTTGAGATGGCCAACACGCGACAAAGCAACGTACAGTTGGCCATGCGCAAAAACCGGTTTGCGTAGCCAAAAGATGACACGCGATACAGTTTGTCCTTGCGACGTGTTAATCGTGACATCAAAAGCAAGACGGACTGGAATTTGCCTTTTAAACCATTTGCAACAAACCATCGCTTGTCAAATCAATCTTGGGGATAAGTGTTGTCTTACCCGTGTGCATTATTGTCACTTTCAACAAATCATCATTAACGATCTTCTTCAGAATAAACCTTGTACCGTTGCAAATCCTTGCTTCGGTGACAAATTTCGCAAAAGCATCACAGGTGCACCAATTTTTAAGCGCAACTTGTGAGGTGGAAGACCAGATTCGTCGAGAGAGTTTAAAAACTCGCGCTCAATACTGAGTCTGATATCATCCGAATCAGGATAATCAACGCTAAACAGGTCACGCATCTCCCCAGGAAAGTCGTCGGCATCGTCATTTGTAGGGCATAGAATTAATCGAGGCAAGAAATAATCGGCATCCCCCACATGGTTTGACACATCATCAAACGTCCATGAAATCAACTCATCAATCGGTTTATCTGTATAAATCTCACGTGGCAATCTGATCGCAGCAGGTTCATTAGGAACAACACGAGGATGGTCACCATTCCTAATACGCATAAAAAAGTGGTCATACATTCGTGTCATTTCATCATTGCCCAAGCTTAAGATTCGCATATTTTCGGTCAGTTGATGAACCTCAAAAAGTTTCCACAAAGGAGACATTTTCATGGACGCATCAATTTGTTGCGCTCGCGATCCGTGTTTCACAACCGACAAAACCTGTCTAAAATCCCCAGCGAGAAGTAAAACTTTCCCACCAAACGGCTCGTCACTGTTACAAAGGTCTGGAAGCGTAATATCAAAAGTTTCCAAGTGGTACTTGTTACTCATCGGAGCCTCATCCCAAACAATCAAATCGGTACGGTGGATAAGCTCCGTAAGATCACTTTGTTTCGAGAATCAAGAAGGGACGCGTGTTATCGGGTTTCAAAGGTGCGCGAAATCGTGAGTGAAACGTTCGACCCTCCGTCAAAAGAGTCGTCGCTATGCCACTGGACGCAACGGCAAGTGTAACGGTAGAACGCGACCTGATGCCCGCCAAAATCGTTTCAATGTAAAAAGTTTTTCCTGTTTCAGCCGGTGCATCGACAAAAGCACTCAACGATCTTTTCTCTTGCACAACCCGAACGTAACACTCGTTGACGTGGACGAAGACGTCGAAAATTAGAGTCATATCTGCGTTGCATTAGAATAGGATCATACGACAGCTCGTCATTTAGAATCGAGGATACCGTTCTGTTCTCGTAATGTCTCGTTATGTTCTCAGCAATTGTTTCTCCGTCGGGTGTTGGATAATAAAGGCAAAACTGACGAATGTTTTTTCCAGGCAAGATGGAATAACACTAACGACTGCAAAATATTTGGGGGAATAATTTCATTGTCTGTGCGATACTGAAAATCATTGCACATCTTATCCCAATGTCGTTCGAAGAAACGGACAGGATCGTTCACCAGACCAAACGCGAGAACCATAGCAAATTTTTTACGAACTTCTTCAGGCATGTAATGTGCAACGACTGTGGCTATGCATTGATCGTATGCATCGTCTATTTGCAAAAGGCCCAATTGAAGACACACAGATCGGAAGGAATCGTATTCGACTCCGTCCACCGTACGAATTTTGGCAAAAGAGCGCACCCCACGAGAATGTTCGTGGTTTAGCAACACGCGCAGATAGAATCGTTCCCCTTCAATGATCCTCACGTGATGCAACCGAGATATATTTTCGAAGAGACCACTGTGGAGATCACGCTTTCTTCGGTTCCATTTTTTATGTTTGTTATCCCATACATGAGTATTAACGATTTCTGCGTAAAGAGGAAGTTCCTCTTTAGAAACACCTTCATTCAAAAAGTTGTGTTCCATCCATGCCGTCAATTTCGTTTTCGGGTGTTCATGCGAAACAACCTCATGCTCAGTATCGGGTGCGAATTG